AATATAATTAATATTGTAATTAATTATTATTATTATAGAACGAAAATGACACAAATACCCTTAATCATTATCTTTAAAAAATAAAAGAGAATGGTGAAACGGACATCGCACCATTTAGTGGAAAAAATGATGCAATGAACAGTGTTGCACGATTGGAGAGCCTTTTGCACCAAATTTTGGCGCGATTTGATGCAAAATGGATTCCATTAGAGATGGCCTAACCAACAAGAAACTAGTGCCCAATCTCTATTGCTCTGTCAAGTTAAAATTATATATGTGGTTCTTAATTTGTAAAGTTACTTACCATAAAAGTTGTTGAAAAAATTGCTTTTATTTTAATGAACAAGAAATTAGTGCCCGATCTACATTCTTACCACCTTACAAGAGATGGACACCGATTTCTTGTTGGTCACAACACCAATGGGCAATGGCCGAGTTTCGGAAGAAAGCAGATGCAGTGGATGGTCTTTGGCCGTTTGGGGAAGAATCCACCAATTTGGAGAGGCAATTTGGAAGATGAAAGACATGGTTGAGAGGCCATTTTGGAATTTTAGGGAAGATGAAAATTTGTGAGGGTATAGAGATGAAATTGAGTAATGCTATTTAGTCGAGCAATGTTATTTACAATCGTTTACTGTCTTAGTCGTTCTATGTGATATACATGTGAGGATTAGTAATTTATTGACCCCACATGTATGCCACATACGACTACAGTAATGAGCGACTTGTAAAATAACATTATTCCGATTTAGCTCCATTAGAATTGCAACCCCAATTTAAGTGGTGCTTTGTGACATTTAATGATATGTGGAATTAAATAACTCATTTATTTCCACATTTTATTTAGTTTATCATCTAACGACACCTCGACGGAGATTGCAATTCTAGTGGAGCTATATAGCATTACTTGATGAAATTCCGTTTGATTTTTTTTTTTTAGATTATGAGTAATTAAATGTGCGTCACATAGGATGTCACATAGATTAACTATTGTAGTCGCTTTTTATGAATAGTATTATATGAATTGTGACGTTCTATGCAGTAGTAGCGAGGTGGGGCTAGTAGGATCCTTGACTCTCATTCAAATTCAAGAATTTTTTCCACTGATTTTTTTTTCTTTATATATATATATATATATATATATATATATATAGTACCGAACTAAGTGGAAATCTAATTTCACTACAGTGATACTCCGCACCTAATTCTATAAAATCAATATAAGATTTGACTTGTTAGATAATAAACAAGTTCAATGAACCTCACAGGGGACAAATTAAAGTATTTTCTTGAAAAGTCTTTGTGCTACTGTTTTACTTTTTTCTTCAAGATTATTATAGGTAAGAATTAATAATGTTGTTCAAAAAAATTTTATTTTTCAATAGTAAATTAAATATTGGTTGACGGACCATTGTAAGGAGGGTATTATATACTTTTTTAAGAAAATACTTTAATTGGAATTTTAGGGAAAATGAAAAACTGAGTGGGTGTAGAGATGAAATTCCATTTGACATTTTTTTTTTAAATTAGTGAAATTGAGTAATTAAAATGTGTTTCACGTAAGATGCCACGTAGATTAACTATTATAGTTGTTTACTATAAATAACATTATACGAATTTTGATGTTCTATGCAGTAGTAGGGAGGTTGGGCTAGTAGGGTCCTTGACTACCATTCAAATTCGAGAATTTTTTTTCTTATATATATATATATATTTATTTATTTATTTATTTTTGTATTTAAGTCAAATTAGATTTCCACTTAGTTCGGTACTCCGCATCTAATTCTATAAGATCAATATAAGATTTGACTTGTTAGATATCAAGTTCAATGAACCTCACATGTGACAAGTCTTTGTGCTACTATTTTATTTTGAATTATGCTACAAGTACACTCAATTTTATGACATCTTTGACAGCTCGGTCACATCACACGGGTAAGTCCCGCAATTAAAATAATTGCAGGACCCACTTGTGTTAGTGGATTGTCAAAATGAGGTCATGTACACGCAACATAATTTTACTTTTTAGTAAGGTCATCTCCAACGGAGACACCAAAAAATGGTGAAAAACTACTCTAATGCTACATCAAATTTTGCACCGAAATGATGCAAAGTGAAGAGTGCACCAAATGGTTCGACGTCAATTTTACCCTTCATTTTCATTTTCCAAATACATTGATTAAGGCTATTTCTGTCATTTGTATTATATATTTTTTAATACAATAAATTATTATTATTATTATTATTATTTGTAATGATATTTCGACTTCATAATATCATAATATCCAAATTCGAAATACATTACACTATTTTTTAATGGCGTGATTTAATATTTTCATTTTTATAGTATTTTTACTAATTGTACTATATATATATATATATTAATGAATTTAATATTTTCCTTAATTTAACGTAATTATTTATTTAGTAATTTATGTATTTGTAAAATAAATAAATAAATAATATTTCAAACAAATAAATTATTAATAATAATAAAAAAAGAAAATGGTTAAACGATGTGTATTTAGTGTAATGGTTGGAGATAAATTTTAGTTTGGTACAAAATTTGATGTAGGGTTGAATATGGCCTAATGCTATTTAACCCCACAGGAGTTGCAATCTCAAGGTAGGTAATGCGAAATGATAGATTAAATGAAATGTGAAATTAAATGAATTATTTAATTCCATCTATTAATTAATGTCATATTAGCGCTATTTAAATTGGAATTGTAACACCATTGAGGTTACATAACATTACTCTCTACTTTTATTCTTCAAGATTACTATAAGTAAGAATTGATACTGTTGTTCAAATTTTTTTATTTTTCAACAGTAAATTAAAATATTGAAAGGGTATTTTAGAAATTTGAATTTTTTAGAATATAAGAGTACTTATACAATTCATTTCCGGTCTGGTTCTAAAAAAATTAGAAATCGGACCGAGAATTGAAAAATCAAAATTGATCAAGTTCAAGTTGATTCTTGAACTAAACCGTAAATTAAAATACCCGACTCTGAAACCGAGTTTTTCCTTTTTTATAAGTTTTTATTTTTCTAAAATTTATTCACTCTGACCTAATGACCACGACGCAACAAGTAGAAGTTTGTGTCTAGCTAGTGATTTCTTTTAGTTTGTAAGCAAACTAATCAATTCGATACATTTATTTGAATAATTGAATTAAGTTACTTTTATTTATCGTTACTCCTAAGCTCACTTTAAGTGTAGCTCGCTCGACAAACCTTTTTTGAGGTGTAGCGAAGTAAAATCAAAAGTAGATGTCCTATCAAATGAGTCCTTAGTTTTAGAAGCAGCTTTTGACTTTTTGAAAGTTTTATCAAATGGCCATTAACTATCATGCGAAGGAAGACATTAACTAGAATGAATTACAAAGTATTTATCATAATCTTGTGTCAAGATTTATCGACAAAATTATTGAGAAATACTTAATATTTCTAATTTTAATTTAAATTATTAGTTATGAAAATAATAATTGAGAAACAAGTCAAATTAAGAAATATCTAGATCATGATTGAGGCGACATTAATTTAATAACGCTAAGAATCTTGTTGGACCTAGGGCATCTTCAAAGGAGATACCAAAATATCAAAATGTACCAAATTTTGCGCAAAAGGTTTTTAATGTAGAACCAAAATTTGCACCATTTCGGTGAAAAATGGTGCAAAGTCAATTTTACCCTTTGTCTTCATTTGCCAAACAAATTGATGAAGTGTATCTGTGTAGTATATTGTTTAATACATTAAATTATTATTATTACTGTTGTTGTCGTTGGTGGTGGTGGTGTTGTTATTTTATGCATTTAAAATAAATTTTAATAATGAAAAAAATAATAGTTAATGAATTTAATATTTTTGTCAATTGCACTATATATATATATATATATATATATATATATATATATATTAATGAATTTAATATTTTCTTTAATTTAACGAATTATTTATTTAGTAATTTATGTATTTGTAAAATAAATAATATTTCAAACAAATAAATTATTAAGAATAAAAAAAAAAGAAAATGGTTAAACGCTGTGTATTTAGTGTAATGGTTGGAGATAGATTTTAGTTTGATGCAAAATTTAATGCAGAATTGAATATGGCCTAATGCTATTTAACCCCACAGGAGTTGTAACCTCAAGGTAGGTAATACTAAATGATAGATTAAATGAAATGTGAAATTAAATGAATTATTTAATTCTATCTATTAATTAATGTCATATTAGCGCTATTTCAATTGGAGTTGTAACACTATTGAGGTTACATAACATTACTCTTTACTTTTTTCTTCAAGATTACTATAAGTAAGAATTGATACTGTTGTTCAAATTTTTTTATTTTTCAACAGTAAATTAAAATATTAAAAGGGTGTTTTAGAAATTTGAATTTTTTAGAATATAAGAGGACTCATACAATTCATTTCCGGTCTGGTTCTAAAAAAATTAGAAATCGGACCGAGAATTGAAAAATCAAAATTGATCAAGTTCGAGTTGATTCTTGAACTAAACCGTAAATTAAAATACCCGACTCTGAAACCGAGTTTTTCCTTTTTTATAAGTTTTTATTTTTCTAAAATTTATTCACTCTGACCTAATGACCACGACCCAACAAGTAGAAGTTTGTCTAGCTAGTGATTCTTTTAGTTTGTAAGCAAACTAATCAATTCGATACATTTATTTGAATAATTGAATTAAATTACTTTTATTTATAGTTACTACTAAACTCACTTTTAAGTGTAGCTCGCTTCACAAACCTTTTTTGAGGTGTAGTATTCAACTTAAATTGGGACCAAAATTTTAACTTAAATCTTTTGGTAGAGGACTTGGGTTTAAATCTTGAGGGGCGCTATAGAAATCCGTAAGGGATTAAGATGGGTTTAGGCTCTCCCAAAATGGACTATATACATGAGAACGGTTGGGCATGATGCTCGGGTCGTTACATGAAGGGTGAGAACACGACTCTTTTACTATTGGACTAATAATGAAGCGCATATATTTATGGTCAAACCTGAGCAGGTTCCTTTCCTTTCTTTAGATCTTCTTGCCTTCCCTCCTCAGTCACCTTCTCTTTAATGTACTCAATTTGTTCGTCCTCCCATTGAGCCAAGTCAGCAGCTTCCTAAATGCAGTTAAGCAAAATACATTACATAACAGACAACATACATAATGAGGCGGAATTATAAGGGCGTGCTCGAGGGACAAACACCTGATATTCACATCCTAAAGTCCACCATGGTGATTTCAAAGCCACCCTTGCAGAATCTTTTGCTTCTGTATTTCGTCCAACTCTACAAAAGACAAAAATGTTTATTATGCGGTGAACATGGTATAACACTATACCAATACCAACTAAAGTTAGGACTACAAACTTCAGTAGAACTTTGGCATTGAAGACAAAAGGGCGACCAAATCCTGGAAAATGCTCCTTTTTTGTATAGAATTCCCCAGTTATCAAAGCTGAAACCTTCCACCAGCATACATGTATCACTTGAAGAAGAAATAAAGTCACTTCCTGCAGAAAGAAAAATTCACAATCAACTTACCTGGTCCCCTTTATCAAAATGCTGCTCAACTTTACGTTCTAGAATATCTGGAAACAAGCCAACCTGCGATAAAATTAAGAAATTTTGTCAAATCAGCTAATATTAATACAAACAAAAAGTGCCTTTTTGGTACCTTTTTCAGAAGATAGATGTCTGTACTCGAAATCTGAGATGCAGCAAAATCACCCTTCTTATATAGCTTCTCTCCAGCATCAGCTGAAGCAAAAAATAACTCCTCATTCTTTTCCTGGGAACCCTTGATGTCTTCTTCCACCAAGATTCTGTGAATATATTGATCTACCTGTATTAGATGAAATGGAAAGATATAGTGAAAACACACTTTTACTGTTTTACATGAACACATGCGCATTAAATGCTATAATCCAACCCTATAACCTGATCTTATAAAACAAAATCTACCACTGAAGTCATGGAAAAACATATGCAGCTTACAGTCTTAGCCAAAAGCCACACTCCATACTTGTGAACCTCCACCACTGGCATTTCCATCCTGTATACATCAGGAGAGATTAAACAACAGAAAACTACGAAAACAAATTAGACAGCAATTTTAGGGAGTACCCAGCAGGAGCAGTTGGCCATCGTAATAACGCAGTTACAGAACCTGTAATCAATAAAATCATGGATGAAGATAGGAGATTTCAATAAACACTTTAGCCTCAAATAGAGAACCACATTAAAACACCTGAATTATTTTTGGATAGAGGAATGGCAAGAGGAAGCAGCCCTTGCTTAGCCCCAGGCGAAATTATTTGTTCACCTATTACAAAGAAATATAAAGAAAAGTTCATATGGGCCACTGAACTATGAAAACCAAAATGACCATAAATGATCCTATTTATGAAGAGATGATTCCATAGGGAATTAGTAGTGAAACTTGGTAGTGACATCATCATTATATCAAGCAATTGATGGATGGGAGATGAAAAATGCTCCACTCAATTGAACTGGAAAGTGAAAGTAGGACCCTTTTTATAGACAACCAATGCCTTTATGATGCCCACAATAGATTTCTTAGAGAAAATATGTGAACTTATATTCTGAAATAATTAGTGGGAAGGAACTGCATAAAAATTATTAAGATGACTACTTCACATACAGGACAAGTGACATGAAAGTTGAAACAAAAAATATATCTTTTAAGCTTTATCCACCATAAGGATCATCACCCTCCCATATCACTAGCTATCAGTTTGTATCCACTACTGGTTCCAATCCATATCCTATCGTTTGTATATATTCAAAGTTCAAAGGCACCAACTATATCTGTCACCTCCAACACCACCATGCTTACCTTCCCCATCCCATTGTTATTTGGCATGTAAATGTGCCTGATATATTATAAAAGCTAGGGCTAGCTTCTTAACTATTCAGCCATCTACTATAGTGTTTGCTAACTACTAAGTCTAGACTAAGATATGACATTTTTTGGTTGCTTAAGTTTGTTTACTCATTAATATCTGGTAATCATATTTGTCCCCTTATGATGTTTAATCATTTACTTTCTATTATGAGGACAACTATGCAGCCACATTTGTGTTGAAATGTACAAGAGAAGGAGTTCAATGCATCATGCTTTCAACTAATTCTCTTACATGTGTTTCAGCTTCAGGAATTGAAATCTAAGCCCCTACAATTGAAGGATGCAAGCCAATTTTCAGCTGTTATTTGCTTAAAATCATACTAGCACTCCTTTTTGTCACTAAAAATCTATTTAAAGCCTTCTCAGCTTTTGCCAAAACAAGGCTGCAATTCAACCTTAAACCCTTTGGTAACTTCAGATTTCTCGATCTAAGGTTGCATTGATGTGTGTGTGGGGGAGCCAGGGGCACAGGATATTGTTGGATTGCAGGTAATATGGGTTTAAAACCATCTATCTGGATCTGCATAAAATATGATGGGTAGGGTCAACGATTAACAGTTTGACACAACCACCAACCTATTCAGGTTGGACTTGGTTTGGGTGAGGGTGCCCACCGAGATCAAGACCTGTAAATGCTAGAGTAGTTGAAAGGGTGTTCGTTTCGGTGTAGGTGATTGGGAAGCTAAAAGCTCAATTTGACGTGCCGCTGCAGCCATGTCTAGTTATGTGGCAAGGCATAACGACCAAATAATGCCACGTGACTAGAAGAGATCAATTGTGATATTTCATTATGCACGGCAAGCAAACTAAAATGTTTCCTAAAAGCATATTACCCTGAAGGTTATCCTATCTGAAGTTAAAAATTTTAGTTTATTCTGAATATATTGAGGACTTGTGTGTGCGTTTATATAGGATCGACACATTCGAAGTTTTAGATCCTGCACTTAGTACAATTGACTTTATACACAGTTACGATTGTATTGATTTTTAGCTCCATTCCGGATTTGTACATCTTAAAGTTCTGAATGGTTCAATTTCTATTTAGTGATACATTGTACTTGTACATTTGATGCAATACATTTTTGTATTAGACTTGTACATTTGAAAGTACATTCATAATATGACATGTATATCTGCATTGCTAGTCCTGAATTTTGAAGTTATGAGTGGATACAATGAAGCTTATCCTCCACCGTCTCACTGGCCAACCTTGACCCCTATTATTTTGAGATCATGTCTGTGTCTCAATTTGGTATTGCTCTCGTAGCCGTACCGAAATAATGTTGTAGCCCTAGATGTCCAATCAAGGGAATCCATTGTAAGCTCAAAGCCATTTCTAACGAAATAGAAAAAGTATTCCCAATCATTTTCCATAGGATCCTCTACTTGTTTAGTTTGGATTTTGACCAAAGTTTTGAAATCCCCAGTTTACTCAAATTTTCGAAACCATTCTTATTAAAGCATTTTATCATATATGTACATGGTGTTACGTCTCTAGCCCCACCATTTTCTTTTTCAAACTAAGGGAAGTGGCATCTCATTTGGACCAAATGGTACAAGAAAATCTCCCACAAATTACCATAGTTTGGAGTTTCCTTATACAGGGATAATTAAGAATAGGCTCGTTGTGCTCTTTACAGGTCAGGGACTTCCGAATACACTTGAACCCAATTTTCCAGCCTCTTTTGTGATATTACTGTTGCGGAAGATGAATCCAAAGTTTTTCCTCATCAAATTTTATAAAAGTAAAATCAACAAAGACGTCAATCAAGAATCAAATAGAATGCAATGTGGAAAGAAAATTGGTCATGCTTTCATCCAATCATTACAACGAAGGAAGATTACAACAACAAACTAAGCTTTATACCTAATAAATAAACTACATGAATCATTCTGTAAAGTTTATTACAACGTGTATTTGGATAAGAATGAAGATTATGTTAGCATAATTATTGCCTCCCACAATATCCCAGATTTTAAAGAAAATAAGCCAATATACCGAAATAAGCAACATTGTCCATTATTCAAACATGTTGAGCTCTATTAAGTACTCTCATGTGAAAAGTACAAGTGCAGCAAAATCAGATAGAAAGAGAAAAAGTCATGGCTCACCTCTGACCTGAAGCATTTTCAATAGATGATTCAAATGCTCCGGAGGTTGAGTAACAGCCACATCTTTGATAAACGACACGTGGTCTGCATTCCAAGAACAAAACCATTATTCCCATTAATGTGTGTTCGTGTTTATCGTAAGTAGTAATTCTATATGCACGAACTGAGAGATGCTGTGAACATGTGCAATTAGTGTACCAGGAGAAGAAAAGTAGCATCTGAAAGTAGGTTTGCAGCGCCTAAAGAGAACCGTCGGAAAAGTGGTGGCGCGTGGGACTCCGAACACCACTCCACCGCCTAGCTTCATATCCTTCGGCTTCCGTTTTGCCACTTGTTTCTCTCTATTGGGTCAGTTTCTGGGATATTGTTTTGCAACGGAAAATGCAGCAGTTGCCTACTCGAGAAAGGGAAGCATTTGACATAAATAACACAAAAATAGAAAACATAATGACGCGCTTTCTCATTTTAACACTATTCGTGAATTCAACTCGTGGAAATCCTCCACTCTTAAAAATAAATAAATAAATATTTGTAGAAGATTGAGAATTAAAGGGTTGAATCGAAATCAAACATGAAGTGAATAATTATAATCGATAAAAGTAATGAATTTATCAGTTCTCAACTTGTTTTATAGTTCGCAATTTCTCAATGTTTCAACTAAATCAAACTAATTTTTTTTTATTTTCGAGCATGGTTTTGACAATATTAGTGGAAATGATTTCTTTCATAATGAGTTCTAAATGAGAGCTCAAACTAACAAGTCAAAAAATAGAGAATAACGATGATAACCATCTTGTAAATCAAACTTGACTCGTTACTAGGAACTATTTGCATTTGGAACATTTTGACACTATGGATTTCCATCTTAGAATGGAATATTTCAATTATTTGGCTTGCCATATCATAGTTTTACCATTTGAAAGGAATTTTTGTGAAGCTTCGCTAGTGTAAACAATGGTATACGTCATTTTTAAATGAATAAGCTCAAAATCTAATACAATAACAATTCATACAAGTTCGGCAATGATATTACAAGTGACTATCTAGCAAAGGTAACTTGATATATTGGTTAAGTTATACTCTACAAAATATTGCATTATTGAAGGTTTCAAGACATTTCGACAATGTAAGCTATAGATACATTGCATGTAGAATAGAGCAAGCAACAAGAATAGCCAAATTAAACATATGAATCAAGGAACGAGATATTAATTAAAAAAATCAAAAATAGTAAATATACTGAATTGATCAACACTACCAACTATACTACTACTTTATTTCCCTATCATCTTTCGAAAGGAAGAGAACATATGAATCTCATTTCATTTGCTAGTCAGAGGTAAATAGAAAGATATCGTCATAAGATAAGGAAGAGATTAACAGTTTTGATAGATTTTTTTTTTATTTTTTATTTTTCATTTTTGAAACCAAAATAACAATTACATTATTAGATAACGTCGTGAGAACAACCAGCGAAAATAAAATTCAAAATACAATCTACCAGTGTTGGCACTGAGTACAAAGTAACCAAAGTCGCCTATATAGTTGGCTACTTTTTGTCGTCTCTTAGCCCGTAAAGAGACAATTGCCATTGAGCGATTTTCCTAACTTAGTACAAAAGTTACACGTATAACGAATAGGCATGATAAGAGAACCTAAAAAATGGCAAACAGTCAACTAATTAAGGTCTTCATTGTTTATTTATTTATTTTTTCAATATACGCAGTGATGAAAGAGTAAGAAAAACTCAATTTATACTACTTAATTTGTTATTGCTATTAACCTATCAAAAATTACCACGAGTAACTTCAATTTTCTCCTAATAAAACCAACCATTTTTCAAGGGGGTGAAAAACCAACCATCCCAAGTTCAATTAATTCGAAAACTCATAATAGTAATGTGAAATATGCTACGTCGTCCACCCTACTCACATGGAGGGAGATCCACTTCGGATAAATTATATTTTATTCGAGGTGGGTCCCCCTCCATGGAAGCAGGTACACCGTTATGAACACTCTGATATACATTTAGTATAGCTCTAGTAATGTAGTCCCATCCTAGGGGAGCAAGACACAAAAATAACACTAGTCTTAGGATACTGAAACACAGAAATAACATGCAGAAAACCTGCAAATTTTTTCATTAATGCAAGTACGCAACAACAAACTAAAACCAAGTCATGTTACCAATAAATTTCGCGGCTGGCTTAAAATTTTCATTGATGAATTTAAGGAATAATAATGTGTACATATGAAGGAATTGTCACCAGTTAATTGAATTGATAAGTACAGAGCAAGCAATCTTTACACAATGTGTTCTATTAACATTTTGTGAAGAGAAATAATCTATTCACATATAGCATTACTGTCCAAACAACTGGCATTCCTTAAAAGACCCTTTCATTCAGCACCTAACAACATTTCTTTGGGTAGTATTTTAAGGGCTGGGCTGATTGTAAGCAGACCAATGAAGCAGTCCAGAGGAACTCTCATACCCCATGCGTTGATCGACTCGAGTTTCCGACATTTGTTAACCAGCAGAGTAAGCCCGTCCTCGGTTACGTGATGACAGCCCCACAAAACAATGGTCTGATATACAATTTTATTACATTCAGAATAAATAAAAAGGTCTCACATGATATGCAGTTCTAGACAGAATTAGACGATACAATAAATAAAATGTCGTCTTGTCTTGTCCAATCTATATTACCACACATAAATTAAAGTTATGAAAAGTCAAACCTTCAGATGTGGGCAGCTATCTGCAATTACGGACATAGATGCATCCGTGATAAATGTACCACCAATATTCAGGTGTTGCAGAGAAGTAGCTCTTGAAATCTGAGGAAATATAAGATAATGAAAAAGTATTCCGATTCTGAATATTGAAGAAAGCTACTTGATGAATTCATGTGAAATGTGAGAAGGCTTTTATTTAGACAAAATTCAAATTTGTGTAAACAAACATTTTGCAATATTGTTCTCAAAGATCAAGACAATTGAAAACAAGAGGAGGGAATCGCACCATCAGAACTCTCTTACCCAGCCTCTTTGTAATAAAAAAGAAACAAGACGAACCATAGAAGAAAAGTTCAACATGACACTAAATTGCATTAACAATCAAACAAGTGCAGGCAGAATCTCGAACCAGATTTCTTTTATACTGATGACAACATAGAATGGCATGCTGCAGAACTGAAAATTTCCTCTTCGTTCAATTTAAAGGATGCAGGAGCACGATACTTGCCTGGCTAAAGCATGTAGACAATCTTGTTCTGATGCATTTTTAGAGGACATAATCCTAATCCACTGATAGATATATTACTAAATAGGTACTGAAACTGCATACTGGTTGACATGTTGATTAGTTTATCATACATTATGTTTATTTTCTTTATTTCTCTGGAGACAACAAAAATCTGTCTTAAAGCAGCAAGAGCTTGTAGGTTCTCGTATTATGACCTCCAGTACAACTAGTGCCTGCTTCATATGCAAGAATGAAAAAAAAAAATAACAATAAATAATAATAATAACTTATTTTCTTTATTAATATTGTTCACTTTTCTATCCAATCCTTATCAAACATGCCATTAAGCAGAATGGATTCAAAAACTAAAATATTATTGAGATGACACAAAGAAGTGAAAATGCTGATGTTGTAGGGAATCAAATAGAGCATACGAGATAGCAATGCAATTGGTTACACGAAGAATGCACTATAAGAGACGATGATGACTGTGTACCAGTTGACCAACTCCTTTGTCTGTGATTCCAGTTAAACCCCACAGGGAAATTGAGACCAAGTTGCTGATACATTTTGCCTTGGACAATTGGTCCAGTCCATGATCTGTTATTTGGCAACCCCAACAGCTCCTTGGTCTGAAGATAAAATACATGGCAAAACCTTGTAAAACTAGATAATCAGAGTAAAAATTCTCAAATTGATGCTAAACAAACCGATAAATGGCACGATTAATTTTCGAATGATAAAAAAGGGAAAAGAAAGAAAAGAAAAAAAGGAACAATCTGTACACCACAGTCTAGACAGAAAGTAACACGTTTTATGACTTGTATGCAACTATTTATATCCCATAACCAGCATTTCCTTTTTCATCCTAATAATTCAGTTATACATCATTGAAACTGATTCCATTACATATTCAAATACACTCCAATAATTTAAAAAGAAAAGATAATCTACTACACCCTCATCCCACTATGAAGTAAAAGAATCCTTCCTATTATGGCTGCAATTCAGAGGGTCTAAAGCATATAAACGATCGCTGCCCTAAAAGACATATTTAGTATTCCAGCTAATATCTCCCATAGGAGAATGCCCTGTTGAGCCATTTCATCTAAAACTTTAAGCTATTGGAGAGAGAACATGCCCCTTCATGTAGACATATTAATATTCTTTTGTAACGAAGACCTCACACATCTAAAATTTTTATAAAGGGATGGAAAGGAAACCCGACCCTGGATCCTCATTGGAGGAACATCTCACGGAAAAACATGAGATGATTTAACACACTCAATGACCCTAACAGATGTGGATTTCCTCAGCAAAGCATAGGCCTTATATTTCATTCTGTGTAATCCCTAAAAAGTTCCCCACTAAATTAGTAAAAGAATGTTCTTGTTGACCAAAAACAAATGCCAGAAAACAATACTCCTACACAAAAAACTGCAATTGATGTGCAAAAATACACAAATATATAGAGAGAGTAATTATCTATACATGCAGAGCTCCTTGAGGCCATAAGCATGAAGAACAAGGCGAGTAACAGATTCATCATCCATTTCCCAGCCTGCAAAACTCAGTTTCTCCTTCCTCGCCAGCGATTCCTTTACTCCTTGCCTCCATTTTCTGCACACGCCACTTGCCCTGAAGACACAGGTAATCAAACACGTGAAGCACCAAAAAAATATATTTATCGCTTGTCAAAACCTTATAATCAACTTAAATTCAATTAAGAAAATCAGAGAAAAATAGAAGAAGCTAACTGGGCCAAATCATTGAAGCAAGTGATGAGCGAAAATATATGAGCCAGAAGATCAATTGGAAGCCGATCAATTTCCGCCTCTTCTTTCCCACCTCCTCCCCTCATACTTCAATTATCCGTAAACACACGCAAAATCAAGATCAGGGATGAAACTAGAGAGAGAAACAACTCTGCTTTGTGACGTATATGTGCGTATATATCTATTGAGAGAAAGGGTCTTCGATTAAATACAGAGAATTTATACTATGAGTGTGTGTCGAAACAAAGTGTGGTCATCTTTTCGTCATCGTTTCCCAGTTTTAATCGAATCATTCATTAATCTTCCGCTTTTAACAAGATTTTTAATTTTGTGAGGTGGGTTTTGGAAATCTTTGCGAAGACTCGGACTGGATTCATTTGTCAGACTCGGACAGCAGATTCTTGAATCTTTCTAATAATTTAATATTTATTTTTTTCGACTTTTGGCCTTTGCGTAATTAATAGAGTTTGATTTTTCTTTAAAAAACGGTCGGTGTATTTTTCGTGTATTCCCTCGCAGGTCCTCATCACTCCACGTGGTGCTGAGCTGTTACTGCCTTGATTTTTATCCCTCATTTGGCAGTCATTTTGTAGAGTTGAAAATGAGTGAAATAATAATTTTTTAAAAAATTAGTGATTGAAAAAGAAAAAAGTTTTCGATTTATGTATAATATTATTTTATGAAAATTGTGTGGTTGAAAATGAAAGAATAAAAATGTAATGTAAGAATGTTAGAACCCCATTTTTTACCTCATTAAAATGAAAAATATGATCGTTATCCATAACATCAAATCACCATATTTGACTTTTTATCTCTTGTGTGAGTCCATAACAACTACATTTTTCATTCTCATTTTTTCAATAATGTGGCTCAAACGGGAGCGTCATGTAATAGAAATTAATGGAGGTCAACCCCCGGGAGCATAGTCTAGTAGTGCAAAGGGCATGAGTGAGGTTATCCCACGCCTTACTGGCAGCTGCAATGTGGGGGTTCGATTCCTGAGACATAGAATTGGACTCCTTGTAGGCGTAGTATACAGGCAACTCTTGTTTCCTGACCTGTTGGGGCACATCCCGCGATTTACCTCCCTCACAAAGTTTTAGGGGTGGAGCAGTGGGAGCCCTCGAGATTGGGGTTTAACCTTTTTAATTAATGGAGGTCAAATGGGGGCTTAGCACAATTTCCACTTCTTCTTCTTTTATTTATTTTTTTTATTTTTGAGAAATATTATTAGTCCCATTGAAATTACATTCACAATCTAAGTAGCGTTAATGTGATATTAAATGATTTGTGAAATTAAATAATTCACTTAATTTTACATTTCATTCAACTTATTATCTAATGGCATTTAGCCTAGAATTGCAATCACGGTGAACCTATATAGTATTATTCTTTATTTTTGAGCAGGCTCGTTTATATAGTGGCTTGTTTCAGTAAAAACGAAAGAGAATCTCGAGAGGATTGCATGTTCGGTATTTTTATTATTTTTACGAGAAATGAAATAAATGAACATTAAAAGTACATTATTATTTCTAAGTGAATAATTTAGAATATATATGTTATGTTGAATTAAAAAAATATGATATAATATATTCATTTTACATATATTTATGTTTGGCATTTAAATTAAAAAATGTTGAAAATTAAAGAAATTAAATGAGGTTGTTAAATGGTTTTAATAATAAATTATTCAATAATCCTATTTGCAATCTATCGCTACGACAATTACTCTACATGACATACACATGATAGATGTTTATTTGATGCACTAGTCAATAAAAAAACTATCATATTAATACATCAAATAACCATTTGTTATGTGTATATTATGTAAGACGATTGCCGTAATAAATGACTACAAAGACGATTGCCGTAATAAATGACTACAAATAGCATTAGCGTGTTACTATGTTTGATTGACTTTATTTTTCATAAAAATGTCATTTTTTATTCAAATTCCTACTTTTGGGGTTTTACTTTTTTCATTAAAAATATTTTCTAAGTTTTAGTCATGTGACCATATTTTTATCAAAAAAAACAAAAAAAAATTATTTTCTTTAGGGAGTTGTGATTTTTATTTTCCAGGTAATCCACTATTTCTTTTTCTCTCTCATTTAACTACCAATAAAAAATAAACAACTATAATATTTTTTAGATTGAAAATTAAATCAATTAAATACATTTCATTAACAATTTCAATACAAACAAGTTCTAAACAATTGAATTGGCTAGAATTTATTTTCTTTTCATGCAAATTTGTAGCCTAAATTATTGGCCAACTTTAAGGGATTTTAGATGGCTTCATATTTAGTTAATGGCATTAATTATTTGGTAATTACTTCATATTTATTGTTATTTTCATTTATATGGGGAGGGTTCTGTCTAGGCAAATATTAGAGTAATACTACTAGTACATAATTATATACAGATTGATGTACATGGCAAGGAAAATAACAGTTTGAAAGAGAGAGAAAGAGAAATAAAAAAGAGTGAAGAAAAACAATTAAATTATAATATAATATTATGTCATCAATCTGTAAATTATTATGTATATGTAGCATTACTACAAAAGTGAAGTAATTTTTTATGTTTTTTTAAAACAATATGAAGGTAATGAAAATATTTTGAAATATTATTGCAGTAATTCATTACTCGATTTCATACTTCTAAATACATACCAAACTACCATTATAGAGTTTTTCTTTTAAAATTATTTCCATAACAGTTAGCATTGAATTCAAAAATATATTAACAAGAGTCAAAGTTCAAAAGAGTTTCAATAATCAATTTCAATTGAATTACAGGAGAAAATGAATTCTTAATTGTTACTAAAATATAAGATAAAATGGAAGAAAGAACCCCAATCACGATCTAAAGATAAGCAAATGGTTTTCCCTATTGTGTATGAAGTTTTTTTTTTCAAAGAATGAAGATCAAACAAGGGCATAAATGACAAAATTCATATTTTATAGGGGCACGGGCCTACGCCCAACTTCCCTATCATTCTATAGAATAAGATATTTTTATCTATTTAGTTACATTGAAGACATGTTAGTATTTAAAAAAAAAAAATTGTTTGGTCAAGCTTTTAAAGTGCTTCAAGCACTGAATCTCAGTGAATTTGGTTCCAAATTAAATATAAATAATGGGTCAATATGTTTAAGATAACAAAATAGAGTTCAACCAATTTATAAATTATAATTAATTATAAGCTTTGCCAACGTGTGAGAAGCTTATGTGACGACCTAAGTTAACCCTATGCTGATACGGTCTGCTAGTTGAACAGGTCATACCGTTCATAAAGGTTTGTCCCTTGCTCGACCTTAAAATTGATAAGGCCAAGCGTGAATGGGCCAAATCGACTCAGGCTAGCTTTATGATACTCCTTATTGATAAGAAATATTTTAAACCCTATTTATATCAACACTTGTTTTCACTCGCACATTCTTTTATAAAATAATTTTACATGTGTTGACAAACTAAAAGTGCAGTCCAAATCGAATAGTCCAAAGAATGAAGCCCAATTGAGGAATTCCCAAATCAAATAGCCCAAAAAATGAAGCCCAATTGGGCAATTCAGGATAAAGGCTCAGACAGGGTTATTAATGAATGCAGTAGAAGCCCACGAACACAGTAACATCATCGCCCAGGCTTGCAAGATGCCCAAGATCTGAGCGAATGGAGTGCCTTACAGTCGTCCAGAGTGATGACCCTGTTCTCACCCATACCTTCGAATCGCCTAGGATCTTAGCAAACATAAAATGTTATGGTTATCCAGAAATACAGTTATTGAGTAACCTTATCACATTCCACGATTCAAGGAACTCAGTTGAAGGCGGTTGAACGACAAAGAGTAGTGGCAGCAGTTAGAGACGGCAGTTCCACGACAAGCTAGCCACCATAAAGAAAATTGGTAGTTATAAAGCAATCAAGCAGTTTCCAAGCGGTTTGTCACGATAAAATCATCAAGGGAATATAAAAGGAAGAGAAGACATAGAGAAAAAAAACCACCTAATCAAACACTTTCAAACAGAGAATATGTAATTTCAATTTCTTAGTTTAAATTTAAACATTTTTTTCAGTACTCGTGTGCTTGCACCCCTTGGAGGCATTCTGTTTAATTCCAATTGTAAATCATCGTCAATAAAACACCCCTTTTTGGGACTTTGTCTCAAGAGGTTTGTTCCTTACACAATCGTCTGATCCCTTTTTAATTGTTAGTGACTACACGCGCGAAACAATTTGGCACGCCCAGTGGGACATTGGTGTTTGGTGTTGAAGATGCAAAAAGTGAAACAATATGCCTAACAAATATGATAAGGAAGTAGCAAGTCAGGGAGAAGTCCAGTTTGTGATCGAGCGATATGAGGAGCAACATAGCTCTCCACGAACAGAGGGACAGAGTCAGAGCAGTCACAGTCGTTACGAACCAATGACAGAGTTAAGTCCTCGGACCATACGTGCATTACTTGGAGAATTCACACATGATGTCGTTGAACACCCCTTTTTGGGACTTTGTCTCAAGAGGTTTGTTCCTTACACAATCGTCTGATCCCTTTTTAATTGTTAGTGACTACACGCGCGAAACAATTTGGCACGCCCAGTGGGACATTGGTGTTTGGTGTTGAAGATGCAAAAAGTGAAACAATATGCCTAACAAATATGATAAGGAAGTAGCAAGTCAGGGAGAAGTCCAGTCTGTGATCGAGCGATATGAGGAGCAGCATAGCTCTCCACGAACAGAGGGACAGAGTCAGAGCAGTCACAGTCGTTACGAACCAATGACAGAGTTAAGTCCTCGGACCATACGTGCATTACTTGGAGAATTCACACATGATGTCGTTGAACAGGTAAATCTGCGAATTATTCATAACATGGAAAGATTTACCCAGAATGAGAATGCACATTATGACAACATGACCAAACAACTGAATACTTTGAATGATACAATGAATAAGTTAGTAGGCCAAATTTGTCAGCCAATTGTGCCTCTTGCAAATCACTTTCAAGCTAGGACAATTGTGGGACATAATCCCTCAGTCCTAAGTCCAAATCAAGGGATAGAACCACCTTTTCGTCCCTCTACTTCAAACCAGGGGATGGTGTAATGTCAAATCAGAATAGTGGTAATGGTACAGCTTACTTGGGGGGTAACCTAAATGTAAGAGACAATGTCCTAAACAATGGACAGAATGCCCCACGTGTTAATGATGGAATAAATATTCAGGCTAATGGTAACAATGACCCAAATCAAGGCAACTTTGTTGCCAACCAAAGACCAAACATCAGGCCTCAAACAAATCAACCGATCAACCAACCTGTAAGAATTCCATATGACCCCAACGTCATGTTGAGGAATCAAATCATGAAAATAGTACAGGATTAGATGGCTTTTGGAGCACG